TCTTGCCATCACTGAATGCGATCTTAAAATAAAGTCAGAAGCACTTGCATCAAATGATGTCATATCAAGAGGATTAAGGTCGGAATCACCAAGAGAAACTCCCCTTGTACAAGTCATAGTCGACAACTTTGATGCCAACATTTCCAGCCAAAATGGACTCCAACTAACACATGCTCTTGCATTGCTTCTAACTCAGACACTTGATGATGACAAGAACACTGGTGACAAAAGTACATTTCGTCGGATAAACAAAGAGGAAATGACACAGCAAGTGGATGATGAAATCACAGTAGAACGATACACAGGTCCCAAAAAGCCAAACATGCCCAAGGACTGCATCATGAAGACAGTGAAACCACTGAAACGTTTAGCCATGCAGGTAGTCTCAACATCACGTGCAACTGTTAGGGATGTTGACTTCTTGTCTAAAGTTGTTCAAGGCGCCTCCTGTCCAGAATGGAACGGCTTTAATAGTGCACTGAACAGAAGGGAAGGTCCCACAGTCAGATCGAAAACAACTTCAGTTTACACTCCTTTGATAGACATGAAACTAGCTGATCCTGACACCATGTTAACTGCTATGAAGGACGCTTACATACTGACTAAACAAGTGGACAAAATGTTGTTGTTTTCACATCTGACCAGCAACTTTACAGGGTGGCAATTCACATAACATGGGCATACACAGAAAGATTCAGTCATTTCTTTCTACGGTTGGAGGAATGCACTTTCTTATGAACTTTATAATTATTTTAAGTTGTCACTCCGTCCCATTTTAGAACGGGTAGAACGCTGGATATGGTCAACGTTCTGGAGCACCCTTCCGTTCAAAGTCCGACCGAGCCCGTCCATAAAGTTCTTATACAGACTGTAAACAGCTGCCACTACGTCCAGTCTGTTCGCATACAGTTTGAGCCCGATGCGAACATTTTTCAAGAACGTACTGAGAACGAGTTTGGTGTGATAGGGGTATTAGATAGACATACAGCTAGACTTCGCTGTGCAAATATGTGTGCAATGCCGTACCTGAAACTTACGATCGTGGGTTCGAATCCTGGGTCGCCATGGTTATATCTGTGTGTGTTTTTAAAGCCATACCCGTGCTCGTGGATTTCAGAGAAGTAGTATATGCCTAGTACCTGCATCAATATGGGTTTTCCTCCCACACCGAGCTGACACGTTACATAAATTGTGAGTGAGTGAGTGAGTAAAATTTTAAGTCATTTTGGCAATATTTCAGCCATATCGTGACTAAATCAAGTTATAGATATATAATAATTCAAGGCAAATTACAAAATCCTGTCTACGAAGGACAGCAAAACAACTAGGCTATCACAGATACATATTTAAAACTAGTAATCAAATCTAAAACAGTTTATCTATAGAGGACAATACAATACAAAAACAGGCTATAGATCGCCAACAACTGAAGGTAGGGACCATACTAGGGACCATGGGGACTTACAGTATCTTCGCTACGTACATGGACCCTAGTTGGATTTACACTATCCCTTCAGCCGCTCGCGATTGTAGGGAAATTTAGCCAAAATTAAAATCACCAAAATACTACGTTTACAAAATCCTGACAGGTTTACATTTACTTTGAAAGTTTTGGGACTTAAGTACCTTCTCAGGAGGACAATATTTTTACAATACTTTAACTAGTGATGTTCCAATTAATTGGAAGATTGGTCGCAGTGACCAAACGACCAAGCAATCGACCCCTTTTTGTCATAATCGAACATAAACGATTTTGGAACTACTGTTTTCGTCTTTGCAACACTTGACAATAGAACATATCTTAGAAGTTGTCAGGGCCTGAAAACGTGTTTAATTCTTAGAAAACTCACTTCACTAACTGAAAAGTCATGACTGAATATTTCTCTAAGGCTCCAGGAAGTTTATGTTCATGATATATTAGTCATCACATTTTGTTCTTTGGTAATGAAGCAATCATCAATTGTGAGATTTCAACTAATTTCCAACACTAACTTTAACCCCCTTGGAGGATACAGCCTAGAGTGAGTGAGTTAAAGTTACGCTTCTTATATCAATATTCCAACAATGTCAAGGCGGGAGACACCAGAAATGGTGCCAATGTAGGGAATCGAACCCGGGTCTTCAGCATGGCGAGAGAACGCTTTAACCACTAGGCTAGACCAACACTTAATCTCTGAATACATATAATTTTGTTAGTAATAAATAATCCCATTACCGTTGCCACCCCTGACCCCCAATCCACCCGCCGAAATATGAAAGTTTAATCATTCAAGCTGACTTGAGCACATACATCCAGGACACCACAACAGAGACCATAAAATAAGCAGAGCAATATCGGCCAAAGAGTTTCAACTGCAAGCTACCCTGATAATCCATTATTTTTAAAGAAATCCTGAATTGTTAGATTTTATAAAAAGACAGATACTGGACATCATCCTGTTGTGTCACAAGGTTTTACATAGCTGCATTCGTGAACATCCAGGTTAGAATTGGTCTTCAGCAAACCATTCTTGTTGTAAGAGGCGATTAATGGGATCGGGTGGTCAGGCTAGCTGACTTGGTTGACACATGTTATGGTATCCCAACTGACCTGTGAAATCAAGGTTAGAATTGGTCTTTGGCAAACCAATTCTTGTAAGAGGCGACTAACGGCATCGGGTGGTCAGGCTAGCTGACTTGGTTGACACATGTTATGGTATCCCAATTGACCTGTGAAATCAAGGTTAGAATTGGTCTTCAGTAACCCATTCTTGTTGCAAGAGTCGACTAACGGGATCGGGTGGTCATGCGAGCTGACTTGGTTGACACATGTCATGGTATCCCAATTGACCCGTGAAATCAAGGTTAGAATTGGTCTTCAGCAACCCATTCTTGTTGTAAGAGGCGACTAACGGCATCGGTGGTCAGGCTTGCTGACGTGGTTGGCATATGTCATCGTATGCCATCGTAGATCGATATGTCATCGTATGCCATCGTAGATCGATGCTCGTGCTGTTGATCATTGGATTGTCTGGTCCAGACTCAATTTATTTACAGACCATTGCCATATAGCTGGAATATGGCTGAATCTGTTTTTATATGGTCTCTGACCACAACCACTAGTTCTATAACAAAGAGATCTCACTACTGACTATCTATCAGACTATAACAACATCTTTAAGAGCAAAACATAATTCGAAATCATGACATCATTGTAATTTAATCAAGATTGAAAACAATACATCTATTACTATTCATTTTAGTATTGTAGAGGTATTCACACCTGACACATTGAGCTTGCTCAATATCATAGACCAAGAAAACTACGTATGTCTTTTGACATTGCAAGTGATACAGTTCTGTGAAAAACAATTCATTAAAAAGTTGCATTATGATATGTTGAAGGACAATTTGCATAAATGTTTAGATCGCAATCAAACTATGTATTTATATACAGTTACTGTTTTACAGTAAAAAGGACACGAATACCAAGGCAAACTGGTGCACATATAAAAAATAATTGAATCCATTAAAGAAATGACATATTGTGCTGATCCCTGAGAATGTTGTTCACATATCACAGTCTTGTTACACATATTCGTGATAACATAAGTGTTGTTTGACATCAGCTGCTAAATGTGATCATATTCTTAGTGTGGCTTAACAAACAGAGCTAAACATGCACAGCTAAACATGATAACATTCTTAGTGTGGTTTAACATGCACAGCTAAACATGATAACATTCTTAGTGTGGTTTATCATGCACAGCTAAATGTGATCACATTCTTAGTGTGGTTTAACAAACAGAGCTAAACATGATAACATTCCTAGTGTTGTTTAACATGCACAGCTAAATGTGATCACATTCTTAGTGTGGTTTAACAAACAGAGCTAAACATGATAACATTCTTAGTGTGGTTTAACATGCACAGCTAAATGTGATCACATTCTTAGTGTGGTTTAACACATACACTTAAACATGATTACATACACAGCTGAACATGGACACATTGTTTGTGCTGTTTAACATACACAATGGCACTGGTAATGGCAATGAAATCTCTTGAAATATTCCAAAAGAAATGATCTGAATTAATTCATTGATCAAAGGATCATGGGTCACGGGAAAGTACCTTTTAGGTCGTTACTAAAGTACTGTCAGAAATAGAAAAAACTGTTTGTTCGCATTGATATCTACAATTTATGTTGTTAATATGTGTAAGCGTGAAATATCTGTTGAACTAAGTTCGGCCTAACTACAGTGTCAGTGGTAAGGAGATAGGAAACGTAGAAAAAGGACTTTACTGAGGAGAGATTAGTGACTTATTTGGAACAGACCATGTCTTTATGCAAATTAGTGTGCGATGATATTATATAACAAAGGACAATTTTATATGTCCATTTTGAAATTAAACTTAGCTTCATTATAAACGATAGCTGACGTTAAAAATAATAACTTTAAAACTGAAACTATGAAGGATGTAGCTACTATGGAGCCTCACTATCACTATAAAAAGAAACAGGTTGGAGGGGTCATCTCAAAAGCAAATCCAGGACGGGTGTCGCAGACGGTGGTTGGGGTCAGGATGGGGGATAGAGATACAAGCTGAGATAAGATATTCCTTTAGGGGAATTAAACTGGGAAGCAAACGGCACATCATAACAATTTACAAATAATATCCAGTCCTGTCGATTGGGTGGTCATGCCACCTATATATTTTGAGACATTTAACACGATGGCTGATTTAAGCTTTTCCATGGGTATCCTGCCCTTTTACATATGAAAGAAAGACACGTTAGATATCAATCAATAGATGAGACATTCATCACTCATGAAAAAGCATAAACTATCTTTGAGATGACCTCTTGTGCTTGTAGGCAGGACGTGCATTTTATGCCAAGTGAGTCGACGGTCCGTCATCATACCTGGCTGAGCGACCTAATTGCCATCTATAGTCCGATCTATTCGTATTTTTTATTCGTAAGTTTTGCCCGATTTTACGAGTAAACATACTTTTCGGGATATCCTATTACGCCCCCACCGAATGCCTAGTTAGGCCGATATCAGTTATTTCGATATATGCCTTTTGTAAATTTGTCAATTTTAGGGATACAGAGTAACAGCCTAAAAGCAGGTTTTTTTCGATTTCCGACAGTACTTTAATACAAATGATGTTGAGGTGCAGGTTTCGTATTAATAAAGTCTGGATTGATGATGTTTTTACAAATTTGGTACATCTTCATCATAACCTAGCAAGGGCCTTTACTCTGTATGCATGACCTAATCCAGGAATTGATTGATGGGTTTCCTGACTAGAGGAGTAATTGAGTGTATTTTTATCCTGCGTACAGCAATATCCAGATACCCAGACAAGAGTAACTATGACTAATGACACTGTTGTTACTCTCCTTGTGTCATTGTGAAAGTACAGAGAGCTCAGCAAACCAGCTATCAATGTGATCATTTTGTATTACATATATGTACGCATTTCATATTCTTGCGGTACTTAGATATCTGCTTAAACAAGTCTTCTCCTATGAATGCTTCTTGTTTTTAAATGAAGGACCTTCTCCTCTAACATCTGCATCTATCAGCTGCTAGATCCATCAGGTGAATTACCACTCATGAGTCCGGTGATAAACAATGCCATCCGCCATTTATGAAATGAGGCTTCTCCCATTCTTGCGGTATAACGAGGAAGTAACGTTATGGAGTGTATGGAAGAACAATCCTTCCTGAGGCGGGAAAAAGTTATGATGTGTACAAGTTGGTATAAACGCACCAATATTCGTTACGTTGCATGATTTTGATCACCCGCAGGCTTGGGCAGCATCCTAGTTACCAGTCGGCAAAGGTTAACAGCCGCTCGATGTCACACATCAGCCATATCGGCAGAAAACATGTTTACCGTGAGAATAGGAAACCAGCAAGAATAGCAGATGGAACTATACATGGGCCTTAACTCCCTCTGTATGACGTGTGAATTAATAAAATACCGGATGTGGTTTTAAAATCACTGTGTCCTTCAACAGTTATTGGCTGTATTCCACTGTAAAAGTACCAAGATTTTTATATAGAAAGACTTATCATTACTAACCTACATCTTCATTTATGAGTGAGTGAGTAAGTTTGGTTTTGAACTACTTTTAATAATATTACAGCAATACCACAGTGGAGGACACCAGAAATGGGTTTCACACATGGTCTTTACAACAGTGATGAGCAGATTCTTTAACCATGAGAGTACCCCACCACCCCAAGTAGTCGGCAACATAACAAAGTGCAACTTTGCTTCTAGTGTTATCTGGGTGAAATACTGTGAAGTAAGAGGAATTGTATCATGATCTCCGTCACTGAGCAATCAGATTCAAATATACCCTAAAATCACAGAACTGTCATGAAATACAGGTCATGAAATTTCAAATGAGAAATTAAGAAAATTTCTTTCATCAGAACATCTGAATAAGCACACTGCAACAACTGACTTCCTCGTATGATATAAAAAAGATCATAATTACAGTTCATCAACTTCCTTCAAACAACATCATCATTGCCATATTAGAATCTACATCATCAATGAAGACAGACTAGTTAGAATCTATATCATCAATGAAGACAGACTAGGCTGTCAGTTTGAACTTCGTCATGCTTTCAGTGTGACAAGGTGCTAGTATTTCTCCCACAAATTAAAAGTAAATAATAAGAAAGTTGACAGTGTATTCCTTCTGCCTCTCTATAGCAGCAGCATCAACAGGTCTCCTGTTATTTCTTCAGTCCTAACTCTTTAGCAACATAGTTGGCCACCTGGACATGCAGTTGGCCTTTAGTTTCCTCATAGACTGTGGAGGCGAATGCCTTGGCTGCATCCGCCCCCTTCATCAGGGCCTTGTAGATCGGGAGTGTGTACTTCTGTTTGCCTGTAACAGTGAGTGAGTGAGTTTGGTTTTATGCCACTTTTAGCACTATTCTAGCAATATCACAGTGGGGGACACCAGAAATGGGTTTCACACATTGTACCCATTTGGGGAATCGAACCCGGATCTTCAGCATGATGAACAAACACTCTTACAAATAGACTACCGTACCACACCTCCTGAAACAGTCAGGGGGTGTCCTTGAATATATGTTACAACTGGAAACCATCTAAAAATAAACACATCACATAAACTCACATTCAACATAATGAACAATGGTTTGTATGTTTGTTAAAGCTGCACTCAGCAATATTCCAGTTATATGGCAGCCATCTGTAAATAATCAAGTCTGAACCAGACGATCCAGTGATCAACACGATGAGCAATGGTCTACGCAGTTGGGATACCGCGCAATGTGTCAACCAAGTCAGCTAGCCTGACCACCTGATCCCATTAGTCTCTAATGACAAACATGGGTTTCGGAAGACCAATTCTAACCCGGATCTTGACGGGTCATCTGCTTTATGGATGCATAAATGTGATTACGGAAATCACAGTTTGCAAAGCGACACATTATAGGCGGATCCAGAGGGGGGTTGCAGGGTGCGCACACCTCCCCTTTGTCCTGAAATTTATTAAATGACCATTAAACCGTTAGAAAAAGAAGTGTGCAATTCTCAATAGCATGCACACACACACACACTTTCAGCCTCAATATCACGCTTAGCGCATCGACCGACTTAGCGCGCCTTTCCCAAAACACACTATACACACACACACACACACACACACACACACACACCTTCTCAATGTGACATGAGGTAGACAATCAGTTCCAAGTGAATGAAGGTGCCGTCATCCACTGGTCATCATTAAAGACAATCGTTACCTTGGCTATGCAGAAAGTCTCTGATATCTGGGAAGGCTGGTTGGTAGTCATTTTTTATGCAAATTTGAGCCCATCTCAAACAGATCTGAAACCAAGAAGGCCGATTTATCCTGTGGAACATATTATACCACTTAACAGTTGAGAGCGACACAAAAGGACCTACCTTGATCTGTAGTTGACATTCAGCCCAAAGCTGACAGCAAATATGTGTAATGATTGCAAATCTGTATCCTAAAAAGATGTTAAGATGCAATGTTGAAATAACTCTTAACTTTCAAAATTTAAAGTCCCAATTTTAACAATGTTTTTCCAGAATGTACACAGAAAGAACATGCAATATTTCATCATTATACTATATTTTATACTGTATATACACAAATAACAAACAGTGTGTAACTAAAAGGAAATTCCCTACCAACAGATAAATTTGTTTTTGTTAACAATATCAACTGACCTCTGCATTGTGAGATTTGGCCAGATGAGGGTACTTATCAGCTATGGCAGCAAGGGTCTCGGCCTTCATTGCAGGCTTCTCCAGCAACTTGTCAAGGAAGTGGAGCAACTGGTAGCTCTTCCAGGAACTGATGTCATGGAAACTCTCCTGGGGAGTGAGAGAGTGAGTGAGTTTAGTTCTATGCCCTTTTAGCAATCTTCCAGCAATATCACGGTGTGGGACTCCAGTAATGGGTTTGTAGACATTGTACATGAGTGGGGAATCGAACCAGGGTTTTCGGCGTGACAAACGAACACTTTAACCAATAGGCTACCCAACCACCCTGGAGGAGTGACATGGAAATGAACATGATCTTCTCACAAACACAAAGTCACACAGACAACTGTTCAGAGTTGAGTGTGAGTGAGTTTAGTTTTACACCACACTCAGCAATATTCCAGCTGTCTGTAAATGATTGAGTCTGGATGAGACAATCCAGTGATCAACAGCATGATCATCAATCTACGCAATGTGACAAGTGTCAAACAGGTCAGCGAGCTTGACCACCAAATCCCGCTGGTCGCCTCTTACAACAAGCATGGGTTACTGAAGATCAATTCTAACCTGGATTTTCATGAGTCAACTGTTTTGAAAGAAGACTGATAGCTCAGATGTAAATGAGGATCTGATGAGCATTGTAGACAGTAAATCAATGGGTTTGCAAGGATAGCAAAACGTTTACATCATTCCAAGGCAGATCCAGTATTTTGGAAAAGAGAAGGACAATATATACCCACATCACAAAGGGAATAAAAACACAAGGTTTGAATGTAAGGCATCCTAAGAAAGGGCATTATCTGCCTATGCCTTACTAGTTATTCACTGAAATATACTGAGATATATAACATCCGGTGAATAGAATACCCAGTTTTGAAAAGAAATGGTGAAATTCCGCAGGCATCAGCAAACAGTATAACTCACAGTAGCAATGACAATATACATGATCTTATGGTACACATATCTGATACATTGCTGTACCTCAGTTGTCTCCCCTGCCAGTGCATCGCCAGTTGTTCTGCTGGGCTAGTCAGTTCCTTGCCGGCTGAGAGATCAGGGACATATGGTGGCCAGCCAGAAGTGTTCAGCCATCGGTCAAACTCCAACCCTTCACTTTCAACAGATTTGTAGATTGTCAGGTGTTTATAGACAAATGGTTGACAGTCAGAGACAGTGGTAACAATAGATGGAAGGGAAACCAGGGGCCAACAAGGATTTTAACATTAGTCACTGATGTTAGTATTGAGTATGGCAGGTGTCCCCAACTTTCCCATTGGTAGGAGCTGACACATGTCATTGTATCCCAATTGTGTAGATCGATGCTCATGCTGTTGATCACTGGATTGTCTGGTCCAGACTTGATTATTTAAAGATCGCCGCCATATAGCTGGAATACTGCTAAGTGCAGCGTTAAACAACAAACAACCAACCAACCATAGGTTGGGGTATAGTATAACAACACAGGGATTATGTGGTGAGTGTTGTCCCCTCTTTCATGTAAGGTCTTGATAGTGGGCATGGTTCCGAATGTTGGAGAAGCGAAAAAGCGAAACAAAACTTGTTGAAAACATCAAATATACAACCAATGTTTCAGAACATATAGATCAACATATATAACACTATATAATGTAGATATAATAGTTTATGGTTTTGCTAATGTATATATATATATATCACACATTTGATAGACAAACATAATTATATGTCCTATATTTTTAGGTTTGTATTGGTTTTGTTTATCACCATGCACATTCTTGAGTGAGTGAGTTTAGTTTTACGCTGCACTCAGCAATATTCCAGCTATATGGAGGTGGTCTGTAAATAATCAAGTCTGGACCAGACAATCCAGTGATCAACAGCATGAGCATCGATCTGCGCAATTGGGAACCGATGACATGTGTCAACCAAGTCAGTGAGCCTGACCACCCGATCCCATTACTCGCCTCTTACGACAAGCATGGGTTACTGAAGATCAATATTCTAACCCGGACCTTCACGGGTTGTACATTCTTGACATAACTGACATTGATTTATGCTTGCCAAGATTAAAAATGAGTCCAAATGGAACTGTGTGTTATAAACATCAGACACAGAACCTGACTGATGAACAGGTTTGACAGGGTTATCATTGGTAATTGATGACTTCATGCTTATCATTGATATGACTGGTAAACAGATAATAGTTAGGGCCGAGATTGATTAGGGGTGAAACACTCTTACCACGGTATTTTGATTGCATAACGGAATACCAAACCGAAGGCAAAATACAGCGGTTCTACTAATACTGCAGCATACCGTTTCACCCCTAAAATTGACAAACATTGGGTGCCCAGGACAAATTCTAACCCAGAATAATCTGAGTTAGGGAACAATCTGTCCCAGCAATCCCAAGAAGTATAGACGTGTTTCTTTGCTTGTTGTTTGTTTGATGGCGCACGCAGCAGTTCTATTGCTGTGTCTACACAATTCTTTATGGGTGGAGACAAGAATGGATTGCTGAAGATCAATTCTAACCTGGATCTTCAAGGGTGGAGAAGAGCATGGGTTGCTGAAGATCAATTCTAACCCAGATCTTCATGGATTTGAGATACATACCGTTGATCTGCTTTCTGTTCCTTTAGACTGGGGAAGTACTGCAGAAAATACTCCAGTGTGTCAGCAGCCACCACACTCTACAATAATTACCACAAATAATTATGAATCATATATATGAAAAATCATGCAGAAATAGTCAACAAAACAAAAAACTACATTCAAGTTTATGTTCATCATAGCAATCACACTAACATCTAGCTGATTAAATTCACCTACAATCATTCTTATCATAATAAGTAAAATTTTTGGAATAGATATAAAGAGGTCCACTTACCCTGTATTTAAATTTGTCAACATAGTCCTTGAGGAACTGGTCAAACTTCTGAACATCTCCGACCAGATGCTGCAAGTAGCTGACGAAACAGTAGCCCTTCTCGTACGGCGTCTCATTGTATGTGTCATCAGGGTCCACACCATGCTCAATAACCACCTGCAGCTTATTCAGGGGATGGTCCTAAACATACACCAAGGTAGTGAACACAAGCAGTACTATTAGTATCATAGCAGTACAGGCCGTAAACACAAGCAGTATTACTGTGTCATACAGCCAGGCCATGAACACAAGCAGTATCACAGTATCATACAGCCAGGCCATGAACACAAGCAGTATCACAGTATCACACAGCCAGGCCATGAACACAAGCAGTATCACAGTATCAGACAGCCAGGCCAAGAACACAAGCAGTATCACAGTATCAGACAGCCAGGCCATGAACACAAGCAGTATCACAGCGTCATGCAGCCAGGCCAGGAACACAAGCAGTATCACAGTATCATACAGCCAGGCCATGAACACAAGCAGTATCACAGTATCATACAGCCAGGCCAGGAACACAAGCAATCACAGTATCAGCATGAACACAAGCAGTATCACAGTATCATACAGCCAGGCCATGAGAACACAAGCAGTATCACAGTATCATACAGCCAGGCCATGAACACAAGCAGTATCACAGTATCATACAGCCAGGCCATGAACACAAGCAGTATCACAGTATCATACAGCCAGGCCATGAACACAAGCAGTATCACAGTATCATACAGCCAGGCCAGGAACACAAGCAGTATCACAGTATCATATAGGCCAGCCAGGCCATGATCACAGTATCAGCAGCCAGGCCATGAACACAAGCAGTATCACAGTATCATACAGCCAGGCCAGGAACACAAGCAGTATCACAGTATCATACAGCCAGGCCATGAACACAAGCAGTATCACAGTATCATACAGCCAGGCCAGGAACACAAGCAGTATCACAGTATCATACAGCCAGGCCATGAACACAAGCAGTATCACAGTATCATACAGCCAGGCCATGAACACAAGCAGTATCACAGCCAGGCCATACAGCCAGGCCATGAACACAAGCAGTATCACAGCCAGGCCATCATACAGCCAGGCCCATGAACACAAGCAGTATCACAGTATCACACAGCCAGGCCATGAACACAAGCAGTATCACAGTATCATACAGCCAGGCCATGAACACAAGCAGTATCACACAGCCAGGCCATGAACACAAGCAGTATCACAGTATCATACAGCCAGGCCATGAACACAAGCAGGATCACAGTATCATACAGCCAGGCCAGGAACACAAGCAGTATCACAGTATCATACAGCCAGGCCATGAACACAAGCAGTATCACAGTATCATACAGCCAGGCCATGAACACAAGCAGTATCACAGTATCACACAGCCAGGCCAGGAACACAAAGCAGTATTACAGTATCATACAGCCAGGCCATGAACACAAGCAGTATCACAGGTACTATTGGTATCACACAGCAGGACAGAAACATGCCACCCAGTACATTGGTATCCAACAGTCATACAGCCAGAAACATACCCAGTACTATTGGTATCCAACAGTCAGGCCAGAAACATACCCAGTACTATTGGTATCACACAGTCAGGCCAGGAACATACCCAGTACTATTTTTATCACACAGTCAGGCCAGAAACATACCCAGTACTCATTGGTATCACACAGCCAGGCCAGGAACACAAGCAGTATCATTGGTATCATACAGCCAGGCCAGGAACACAAGCAGTACTATTACTGTACACCAAGGCTATGAACACATGGAGTACTATTGGTATCACACAGTCAGGCCAGAAACATACCCAGTACTATTGGTATCACACAGTCAGGCCAGGAACATACCCAGTACTATTGGTATCACACAGTCAGGCCAGAAACATACCCAGTACTATTGGTATCACACAGTCAGGACAGAAACATACCCAGTACTATTTGTATCACACAGTCAGGACAGAAACATACCCAGTACTATTGGTATCACACAGTCAGGCCAGAAACATACCCAGTACTATTGGTATCCAACAGTCAGGACAGAAACATACCCAGTACTATTGGTATCACACAGTCAGGCCAGGAACATACCCAGTACTATTTGTATCACACAGTCAGGCCAGAAACATACCCAGTACTATTGGTATCACACAGTCAGGACAGAAACATACCCAGTACTATTGGTATCACACAGTCAGGTTAGAAACATACCCAGTACTATTTGTATCACACAGTCAGGACAGAAACATACCCAGTACTATTGGTATCACACAGTCAGGCCAGAAACATACCCAGTACTATTGGTATCCAACAGTCAGGACAGAAACATACCCAGTACTATTGGTATCACACAGTCAGGCCAGGAACATACCCAGTACTATTTGTATCACACAGTCAGGTCAGAAACATACCCAGTACTATTGGTATCACACAGTCAGGCCAGAAACATACCCAGTACTATTGGTATCACACAGTCAGGCCAGAAACATACCCAGTACTATTGGTATCACACAGTCAGGCCAGAAACATACCCAGTACTATTGGTATCACACAGTCAGGCCAGAAACATACCCAGTACTATTGGTATCACACAGTCAGGCCAGGAACATACCCAGTACTATTGGTATCCACACAGTCAGGCCAGGAACATACCCAGTACTATTGGTATCCAACAGTCAGTAATGGCCCCACGTACCCATACAATACTGTCAGTATCTTACCTCTCCAGTGTGGTCCATATGGAGGCGGAGCAAGTTCAACCCAGTGTTTGCCTCCAGACAGGTGTACGGGCGTCCCAGTATCTCTTCCATGATGCGACGCTGTGCAAACATTGTGAAACCCTGCCCGTGGAAATACAACACAAGTTTGATGACAGGTGTCTAAATTAATCCTTACACTGGTATTTAGAGCATAAGTACCTCAGTCAACAACCTCTGCTGGTTAAAGGTTGATACATTTTTTTACACACAGAGGCAGAATGACTTCTTTGAGTGGCAGTTTAGAAGTAGGAAGTCAGATAGAACAAATTTATATGGATGCCAACTTCTAAAAATTCTAGAGCATGATGTTTCGATACAGGTTCTTGTATCGGTACAGGTTTTCAAGTAAGTATGGTACAGGAGATAACAGGTGGTATATATACAACAAGACTAATTAACAAGGTTGAGGCGAAATTAACAATGTGATGATAACAAATAAAGGGATAACAGAGGATTACAGGGATAAACATAGAGGCCGGTGGACGCCGGTGATACACAGAGCGTAGAATGTATACGAGATTAACAATGTGATGATAACAAATACAGGGATACAGAGGATTACAGGGATAAACAGAGAGGCCAGTGGATTACACAATGTATACCTAGATTAACAATGAATAAATAAGAGGCAGAATGGTAAAAGAAGATGCTGGGTAGAAGTCGATACATTTTCTATACAAAGAGTCGGAATGGTAAAACATGAAGATAAAGCAGGACAACATTGTACAGCCTACCTCGTTCAGCCAGAAGTCCCCCCATGTGGCATTGGTGACAAGGTTACCGAACCAGCTGTGGGACTGCAATTATGATGAGACGATATTACTATTACATCCCTTTAGTGCCTCCCTTTGGTTTTCCTCCCCTTATCTGATCCCTTTTGTACCTGGTTTCAACCAGCTTAACTATACATAGCATAGCTATAAAAATATTTACTGGTAGGGATAAAACAGTCGTTTTGTAATATATTGCGGCACATGGTATTTTTCACTGGGAGCTAAAGTGTGTCACAATGTTAACACTGCTTGCATATACAGATACTATTTTCCACATACCAAAGTAAATATTACCCAGAATTGTCAGTTACAACCATTTTGTAGTCATGTAGGTAATAATATTTGTAATATACTTGCATGCTGGTATACTGTGGAGACTGATGTGCTTGTCTATATTACCAAGATTACAAGATAAAAATAATTTGCTGTAACTAAACCAGAGAATCCAGTGATCAACAGCATGAGCATCGATCTGTGCAATTTGGTGAGTGAGTTTAGTTTTACGCCTCACTCACCAATATTCAAGCTATAAGATGGTGTCTGTAAATAATCGAGTCTGGACCAGACAATCCAGTGATCAACAGCATGAGCATCGATCTGTGCAGTTTGGATACTATGACATCTGTCATCCAAGTCAGCGATAATGTACAAGGACTTGGGTTTCCACTCAGCAATATGCCAACTAAATGGCAGCAATCCGTAAATAATCTAGTCTGGACCAGACAATCCAATGAACAACAGCAATAGACCCCAATACAGGACAGTATCAGGTTCAGCAGTGATCACAGATATGATAACATAAAAAAATATAATCCACTTACAATTTCATGGATGACGACATCTGTCAACGACTTGTCCCCAACCAGTATGCAAGGTGTGACAAATGTGAGACAAGGATTCTCCATGCCTCCGTACGGGAAAGATGGTGGCATGATGAGGATGTCGTATCTCCCCCACACGTACGGTCCAAACAGCCTCTCCCCTGTTGATATGAACTCCTCGACAACTCCATCAAACTCTGCCCGAGCCTTCTCCTGTAGACACAGTTTCATCACAACCAACCAATGAAACAGGTGACGTAAAGTTTAATCAGTTAAATGGTTCTTTAGATCATTTATACTATACCATGAAACTATTCTCATTACACTGGAATGGAACTGTTCAGAATGTCTACATACATTCAAAGGTTCCAAGCACTGCATTATTTATAGTAATCTCCTGTACATAAATCAGTAATTTCAGAGAACAATGAAAAGTTGACATCTGCTCAAATGCAGTTGAAGTTGAAGTCGGCACTGTATTGAGACATTTCCAAAAGAGTTCCTCATCATGCCTCATCCTTTGCTAAAACAGAATCTCCCCATTGCTGAGACCCCCTCTCACCAGGACACTAGGCTCAGCATACACTTTGCTCCGAGGTCCGATATCTGCAGCCTTGAGGTCTCCGACTGCCAGGGCAACCAGGTACACCTGTATGGGCACATGTTGGCTGAAGTAGTACGTCTCCTTATCCCCGGACAGGTTGGCCACTTCTCCGTAGCTGCTTTTGCTCGCACTCATGACCGGGGTAAAGCCTTCTGCCACCTACAACATCATGCATGTAGCTCCCTGATGAGAATACAACAGGACACTGCCCATCTAAATACCAAAAGTGATACAATATTGCACAGGGGTACAATTTCTGCTGGACAGAGTATCTTAATAACAAATAACAACATAGATATGAATGTATATTAGATTGACTGACTGACTCAGTTTAGTTTTACGCCGCTTTTACCAATATTCCAGCAATAGCACGGCAGGGGACACCAGAAATGGGCTTAACACATTGTGCCGAAGTGGGGAATCGAACCCGGGTCTTCGACGTGACGAGCCAATGCTTTAACCATTAGGCTACCCCACCGCCCCGTATATTAGATTGAAGTGACCAGAAGGTTATGTTACAGAACCCATCTTGACATGAGATGTGAATGCTGATGTGAAATGTGCACGTTTGTTTGTTGCTTGACGTCGTACTCGGCGATATGCCATATTCGCCCATTGGGATACGATGACATGTGTCAACCAAGTCAGTGAGCCTGGCCACCCTATCCCGTTAGTTGCCTCTTACAACAACCATGGATTACTATTAAAGGCCAATTTTAACCCAAATCTTTACGAGTAAAACAATGTGCATGTTCTGGGAGGGTATTAAGAACCTGTTACAGAACATACCTTGATATCAACCATGTCCTGGCCGTGTGATAACAACCTGTTACAGAACACACCTTGATATCAACCATGTCCTGGACAGGTGATAACAACCTGTTACAGAACTCACCTTGATATCAACCATGTCCTCGCTAGGTGATAACAACCTGTTACAGAACTCACCTTGATATCCACCATGTCCTGGATGGGTGATAACAACCTGTTACAGAACTCACCTTGATATCAACCATGTCCTCGCTTGGTGATAACAACCTGTTACAGAACTCACCTTGACATCAACCATGACCTGGACGGGTGATAACAACCTGTTACAGAACTCACCTTGATATCCACCATGTCCTTGCCAGGTGATAACAACCTGTTACAGAACTCACCTTGATATCAACCATGACCTGGACGGGTGATAACAACCTGTTACAGAACTCACCTTGATATCAACCACGTCCTCGCTGGGTGATAACAACCTGTTACAAAACATACCTTGATATCAACCATGTCCTGGCCGTGTGATAACAACCTGTTACAGAACACACCTTGATATCAACCATGTCCTGGACGAGTGATAACAACCTGTTACAGAACTCACCTTGATATCAACCATGTCCTGGCCGGGTGATAACAACCTGTTACAGAACTCACCTTGATATCAACCATGTCCTGGACGGGTGATAACAACCTGTTACAGAACTCACCTTGATATCCACCATGTCCTTGCCAGGTGATAACAACCTGTTACAGAACTCACCTTGATATCAACCATGTCCCGGCCGTGTGATAACAACCTGTTACAGAACACACTTTAATATCAACCATGTCCTGGACGGGTGATAACAACCTGTTACAGAACTCACCTTGATATCAACCATGTCCTCGCTTGGTGATAACAACCTGTTACAGAACTCACCTTGATATCAACCATGTCCTGGTAGGGAAAGGAGAGCCTGTTACAGAACTCACCTTGACATTAGCCGTGTACGTTGATTTGATGGTTGGCGTGTCCTGGCAGGGGAAGAAGGATCTGTTACAAGCTGCCTGTCCCTGTGTGTACATGAAGGGCATCTTCTTTCCTGCAAACCCAATTACTAATCATTAATGTACATGAGTGAGTTAAGTGCTATGCAAGTTTCAGCAATATTCCAGCCATTTCACAGTGGGAACACCAGTCTTCACACATCATACCCATGTGAGGGATCCAACCCAGGCCGGAGGTGAAGAGCAAACACTTAACCACTATGCTACCCCACCACCTTCTTTAATGTTAATGGGGCGGTGGGGTAGCCTAATGGTTAAAGCATTGGCTCGTCACACCGAAGATCCGGATTCGAATCCTCACATGGGTACTATGTGTGAAGCCCATTTCTGGTGTCCCCCGCCGTGATGTTGCTGGAATATTGCTAAAAGCGGCGTAAAACCAAACTGAGTCAGTCAGTCAGTCTTTAATGTTAATAACAGTACAACAAATCTCATCCTTTCTGTATATTATTATTATAGGAGATTTATATAGTGCACATATCCACACAACTAGTGCATGCTCAAAGTGCTGTTATTTTTTCCCTCGATCATTGAATGTCAATCTCAATGGCACATCGTATTATCAATCTCAACTCAAGTCTTGCAGCCACTAGGCGCACCGAGTTATTGTGGCTTTCTCATCCTAATGAGGTACCCATTCACAGCTGGGTGGACTGGGACACTTAGTCACAGTTCTTTGTCCAGGTTCACTGCTTGTTACTGTACCCGCAACTAGGTGTTTGCACGTATTCATGTGGCCACCATCTGGTCATATACCAACGGATCCGTGGGTTCTGTTAAGTGCACAGGGTTGTTCACTGTGCACTGGGGGTTGTAACAACACTGAAAGAGTCTGCACACAAAGTTGACTCCAAGGTCTTTTTACCCGGTCACAGGTGGACTCGATCCCGACACCTCAACCTCACTGGATCACAAGCCTGGCTCCTTAGCAAGCATGCCCACCGCACCCCATTATCATCCTACATGGTTCTAATCACATGCTGGTTGCTGTGGTTCCAGCCAGCAGACCAAGTACTGGTGAAAAAGGGCAGTCACAAAATCAACCACAGTATATAAAGATTACTGAAAACCTGCAGTTACTGTGTGAAATATGAATTATGTTGGAAAATACATGGTAAATCTCCAAATTATTATCATCAGTTATTCTGGTTCAGCAGAAAGAAAATGATGAAACAAGCAAAGGGAGAGGTACTTATCCTGTTAACACTAGTAGATACCTGAGAGAGCACCTGCAATTGGCTGTGGTTTAAGACAACAAACCATGAAACTAGTGTAACAGATGGAAAGAATGGTACTTATCACATAAACTACAATAGATAACAAGAGAGAGCACCTGCAGTTTGCTGTGGGTCAAGCCAGCAGACCCCTGGGCCCCCTGTACTGGTGAATGAGAGACGGATCTTGAATTCCTCACCAGCATTCTTTTCAGTAGGCAGCTGCAGATAAAACAGTCAAAATCAATTGTAATTTTCTTTGGTGATAAAATTCTTTCCACCATGCAGACTAAACTTGTTCCATCAAACATGCATATGTTGAATTCCTGAATGTCTCAAACTCACCTTCCATTCCCTACAAGTTCCATCTAAATATTTAACACTGCTTATACTCTGATCTGTTAAACTGGAAGTGTTGTTTAGAAGTCCCAAGTATCTAAATTAAGCATAAATTCCCCCCATGACTCGAACACAAAATGTATTAAGGCCGTGTTTAACATCATAATATACTCATTCTTAGAGGATTTTATACACTCAGGACACGTAAGTGAGCTACTGTCAGTCAAAAAAATATCTACACGCTTCAACTTATGAGAAATTTAGTTTATTCTTTAAAGGTCACATGCAACCAAAAAATCAAACATAATTGAAACACAATTATCACTTATTCATGACATATAATATACATTGCTGATTATGAAAAAAAACGCATAAACAAAATTATATGCATACAATCGCAAATCAAAGGTGCAATATTTTGTACTTGGGTTTACTTCCCTAGAAACGAAGCAGCCGGGATACCGAACCCAGTCAGAGCGGGTGGGTGTGCACTCAAGTGTAACGGCTTGTTCATTTGCAGATGCCCTCATGGCTCATTGTGTGTGTATATATAGAGATGTTGGGTTTTGTAAATACATGCTCATTTTTTGTGTATAACATTTTGCAATCAAAAGACATCATAACATGTCATGTGTACAAGTATCACACCTGCCTGTCTGTGTAATTACATAAAGTGACAGAGACCGAACTCGGGCCATAAATCAATGCGTTTTGTTTATGGTGTATAGCCTGATAGGTGTTACGTTCAAATTGCATGTGGTCAGTGATCGAAGTTGTGTATTGACTATTGTCACTAGCAGACAGGCAGGCAGACACATAGATGTCAATAAAACAGACATTGAGTTTTGTCTGTGACAACGACATATCTATATCACAGTTAGAAATTCTGTCAAAGCTAAATAATGACATTGCTTTTAAGTATCGAACTGAGAAAGTGACTCGGGTAAGAAGAACGTGTGGTGAAAAGAAATTATATAAACAGTTAAATCGGTAATCTACTGTCATAACATATAAAAAGCTCGCGCCTGTGAAATATCAACAAAACATTAGAAAAATAGCTCACACCAAAGCCTTCACCGAGTATTCACCGGACAACCCGCTTCCAAGCTGCGTGAACCTATTTCACTGCGCATGTGCTATGAGAGCAGCCCAGCCCAGCTGTTGAAACCACTTTTCCCCCAAACGCTGGGGGAAAATTAGTGATTCGTTTGAACTAAAAAAATTTTTCATCGCGTTATTTTTCAACTTTATAAGTTGAATTTGCATTTTTGGTGATTTGTTTCGGTAAGTTCATACCGAAAGGTATCAGAATCTTCAAAGTTGTGTTTTACGTTGCATGTGACTTTTAAGGAATCTATAAAACAGGCAAGATATGGGTATTATGGTTGTGATGTGTCATTGCTTGTAAAGCAAACAATGCTGCAATGTAGACTGACTGCCTGAGTTTGGTTTTACGCCGCTTTTAGCAATATTCCAGCAACATCACGGCGGGGGACACCAGAAATGGGCTTAACACATTGTACCCATGTGAGGATTCGAACCCGGGTCTTCAGCGTGACGAGCCAACGCTTTAACCATTAGGCTACCCCACCGCCCCCCTGCAATGTAGAGCTGGCAACAGTCACTAAATAGATGGCACAGGTTAGTTTGTTTGTTTGTTGTTTAATGCCACACTTAGCAATATTCCAGCCATATGGCGACAGTCTGTAAATAATCAAGTCTGGACCAGCCAATCCAGTGATCAACACACAAACATCAATCAACGCAATTGGGATATGATGACATGTGTCAACCAAGTCCACGAGTCTGACCATCCGATGAAGTTTGACACAGAGGTTGCTGAAGACCTATTCTAATCTGGATCTTCATGGATCAAGTAGCTTAGTAGGTAAGTAGGGCTGCAGAAAATCTTCAAAGCCTCATATGGCTCTGACAAGTTCTCACATCAATCAGTAGGGCTGTGCCGTAGTCAGTGAAGTCTTTTTTCCTGATGATAAGAGACTGGTCCACTCCCTCTAAGTGAGCACTGTGAACCGTCAATGTCTCGTGGGTGTCAAGCCGAACTGAAATAAAACATTGATCTAGAAACGTGGTATGAAGATTGATGAGACTGTGTTCCATTATAGCTATCAAAATGTACAACTTCTGGAGGGGGAATATGGGTAGAAATCTTATCAAGTAGTGATAGTATCCAATCTTGACAACAGCCAACAGTTAAGTAAACTCTATGCTTATAATACTTATAGTGCTTGCTGTTAGCCGTGTTGTCAGTTGAGCACTTTATTAGGTACATATATTCGGATTTCATTTAGCATCACATGGAGGATGGAATTCACCCCCCTTAAAATCATCATTACCCCCCCTAGCCATAAATTATGAACAGTCCCTAAGGAGTTACTTTTGCTCCAACTTTCCAGGGAAAATGAGAGCTATCACAAATATATGGTGCTAGTTTTCAAATCATCAGCTTCCAATTTCTGTGCATATGCAATAGTCATTCTCTTCATGAAAACACAAAACTTATAAAAATTACAGTTGCCACAAACTGCTTTGGATTTATTCATTAATACAGGTAATTGACCCACACCCAACCTCACAACTAACACTAAGGGCTAATTGTGCCTGACCCCAAGAACGATCGTCGAGGGGTGTTTGATCAGCAAGGGGTGAAATCAAACTCTATCCACAGCTATTTGCCTTGATCAAGCAAGTGGGAACTCATTGGAAGCCTGACCCTGAATAAATAGACTAACATCTAAAATAAAAATGTTTCACAGAAATGATTTTTTATTTAAATAATCTTTACACAATATAATATAAAGGAGCCCGGAGACTTTCTTCATCTGAAATGGAGAAATCTAGACTTAACGTCTTAAGATACTACACATTATAAACGGTTAAACCTACATGGGCTTTATTGATATATCTCTTTCGGGGACTATATGACAGGCTACTGAATCCAGTGCTCGGTAAAAGAACACGGGGCATGTGGTGGACTCAGTCTTACGTACCTTCGACAAGTCGCGTTGCGAGAGTCTTGAATGTGATCAAAGAGGTCCCTTTGATCTGCTTCTCGGTGAAATCCACATTAAAATCAAGGTGATAGTTGATGACGACGACCTGTCTATAATTTGACACCGTCGCCACGTCGACAGCACTGTCTGAGTGAAGCACCATGATGACGCAGGGATGTTGACAACTAGTTAACAACCAACACTTCTACCATAGGAGGGGTACTTGCCGACTTGACATCAACTTTCGTTTCCTCCCATTGGTCACATGATGTAAACTTCCGGTAAGGGCGGGTAATTCTAAAAGCACCCTCAGCGAAACGAAACCCTGAATTTTTTCGGGATTTGGGATAGACTGGTCGCTTGTCAAAGCAGGCAAACATTTCACGTACAGACAAAATGACAAAAGTAATATCTTTTTATTGAGTAACTGATTTGAACAGTATCACATGAGTAAACAAAATGCTTTTTAAATCTTTGAAGGGCATTTAGAAGTGGAATGCATAAGAAAAGCAAGATTTATGGATGTCAACTTCTTTATGAGAATAACACGACGTTTGGGAGTGTGTGCTTGCTCTTCAAGTCCTTCAGGTGTATGGTACGGACTATCAGTGGAATATATATACATACATCGAGGCACTATGGAGAAAACATGTTTAACAATGTTGAGGAAAGGAATATGTAATGCCAACATGAAACCAGCGGTACATTGGAACAACATGGTAATAGATGTAATAGGATATAGAATAAACACGAGGAAGCGAGATACATTAAAACCACATGGTACAGAACAAACATAGAGAAGGGAGGTCAGTGATCCGCTGGAAGGATCATGATCCGCTGGTTGGATATGCAATACAAGCCATGAGTGAGTGAGTGAGTGAGTTTAGTTTTACGCCGCACTCAGCAATATCCCAGCTATATGGCGGCGGTCTGTAAATAATCGAGTCTGGACCAGACAATCCAGTGATCAACAGCATGAGCATCGATCTGCGCAATTGGGAACCGATGACATGTGTCAACCAAGTCAGCGAAACTGACCACCCGATCCCGTTAGTCGCCTCTTACGACAAGCATAGTCGCCTTTTATGGCAAGCACATGGGTTGCTGAAGACCTATTCTACCCCGGATCTTCACGGGTAACAAGCCATGAGGCCAGTGAGGTGGTGATTAGCTTTGGCGATAAACATAGGCGATGCAGACAGGGTGCTGTTGGCTGTTGACTTATGACACACCTGCTACAACATCTCATCGCCCAACATCCTAGAATCAAGTTCACGTTGGAAACGGAGACCGACCACCGACTCCCTATCCTTGATGACTCCCTGCAAGCCACAGACCATGGACTCACGATGGTCGCTCGGCACGCTGAAGTCCCGGGTTCGATTCCCAACGTGGGTACAGTATGGGAAGCCCATTTCTGGTGTCCCCCGCCGCGATAGATTGGGTGGTCAAAGGTGAAGATTGGGTGGTTGGGTGTGGATTGGGTGGTCAGTTATGGAGACGTGTGGACTGGGATAGTCAGGCTTATGGACTGAGTGGTCAGGCTTATGGACTGGGTGGTCAGGCTTATGGACTGGGTGGTCAGGCTTATGGACTGGGTGGTCAGGCTTATGGACTGGGTGGTCAGGCTTATGGACTGGGTGGTCAGGCTTATGGACTGAGTGGTCAGGCTTATGGACTGGGTGGTCAGGCTTATGGACTGGGTGGTCAGGCTTATGGACTGGGTGGTCAGGCTTATGGACTGGGTGGTCAGGCTTATGGATTGGGTGGTCAGGCTTATGGACTGGGTGGTCAGGCTTATGGACTTGGTGGTCAGGCTTATTGACTGGGTGGTCAGGCTTATGGATTGGGTGGTCAGGCTTATGGACTGGGTGGTCAGGCTTATGGACTGATAGGTCAGGCTTATGGACTGGGTGGTCAGGCTTATGGACTGGGTGGTCAGGCTTATGGACTGGGTGGTCAGGCTTATGGACTGGGTGGTCAGGCTTATGGACTGGGTGGTCAGGCTTATGGATTGAGTGGTCAGGCTTATGGATTGGGTGGTCCAAGATGGAGAATGTGTGGTCGGGTGTGACAACGTGTTGATTGGGTGGTCAGGCTTATTGACTTGGTGGTCAGGCTTATTGACTGGGTGGTCAGGCTTATTGACTGGGTGGTCAGGCTTATTGACTGGGTGGTCAGGCTTATGGACTGGGTGGTCAGGCTTATGGACTGGGTTGTCAGTGGCCTAGAAAAATGTGAATAAAACTACATAGAGTGAATTCTATCTAATTGGCTTTGTGATTATATAGCTATATTTGTACATTCAGACACCTTGCATTTTGAAAACATGTTTTACAAACAGAGTGCAGTCGATCCGGCCATTTAGTATTTGTAATATTAACATGGGAAAGGCTTTGTCGCCTTTCGTTAACTGCTGAACATGAGAGATACGTTTTTATTCTAATTTTTGCCATGAGGAATAAAAATTATGTAATTATAAAAATGTTCATGGCCAACCGATCGTGTAGCATATAAATTATTGGATCTTGATGTACAGTACAGACATCTTTAGGTGATACTCATTTATATGCAATCCTGTTCATTACGATTCAACTTCATGAACATGAAAAGCGACACAAACATTCCATGTTTATGGAAAGATCTTATCTTCGTTTACACAGGACCAAAAACTCGTAATAGCACTTTATCTCTCTTGTAGTCTGTCTCACAGTCCCTGAACCACATTATTTTCCCTGCTCCCAAGCCCTCTCTGCAGTGCTAAAGCCCTAAATAAAGCAAGTCTAGATTTCCACAGATTCCGAATCTCTAGTCTCCCTGGGGCTCCTTTCCATTTAAATGGGCTTGTTTGTTACTATCAAAATTATATATATTCAGAGACTAAGCATTAGTCTATCTCTCTTTGAGCACGGCCAAATACGCTACACGAACCAACTCGTAATTTCTTAAGTCTCTTCAGCTCTCACATCAGTACTGTAAAATAAGTTTTGTCAGTACATAATTGGAATATTATTGCACTGCATGTGACCTTTCTTTATAGTCTCACAGTGCCTGAACCATGTTATTTCTCCTTCCGCTCAGCCTTTGCTGTAATAACGCCACACAAAAAATAGTTTTTATCATGTAGCGATTATGTCCGGATGGCACAGGCGGGTGCGTTCTCTGAGTATACCATTGGCATGTTGGGCCTCTGTGCCTTATGTAAAATTTGTCTTGATTGTTCTGTTTAAATTGACGATCCATAAACCCAGAGTCCGAAAGCAAATGTCACACAAGTAAATGTGATGTTGCATTGCTGTAATTTTCCATGTCGGAGAAGTCCTTCTAACAAGATATATATTCCGTTGTTTGGAGCAGGCCTATGACTATTACGCCCCAGTGTTGCTAAACATCTTGCAGACCTTTAACCTCACATAGACGCAGACCTCGCAGACCTCAAGTTCAGATCTGACAGGTGCCGAAAATATTGATTCCGACAAGAATGCAATATCTCAGTTGGTTATTGTTTTCCTAAGTAAGTGGAGTGCTTTCTACAACATTGGAGATAGTGGTATCGTTGTCTTCCTGATATTCCCCCGAACGGAAGCTCTACCCATTTATGGTATAATGTGTAAGTTACAGATTTATAGGGAATAGTCTTAAGACTTTTCTACTTTGACCAGGATTCTTCGAACTTGCAATAGTCGTTTGAGAAGATCAAGAGAGAAAGGGGTAGTGTGCAATGTATCTGGAGGACGTATATGAAGAAAGTTCGAAGAATGTTTCTGTATAAATACAATAATAGCAATACCGGTTATGTTTGAAACGTACCCTCAATCTGATAGCCAGTGAGATTATTGTGAAAGATCGCAATATGTATCATCATAAACGGGCCCAGATAAAAGTACATGCCATTCATTCCCACATTACATCCCCTTTATAGACACGGGACATCGTTGTTACAGTTAGGGAAAACACTTTCTTCTGTAGGTATCTGCCGGTTTCACGCTACATACATGTATTCAGATTACTGAGAAAAGTATCGACGCAAGTTCTCCTCCATCACACATATAATTTTATAGATATCCAGTGATTAGGGATAGCGCTGCAGCAACTTATTGAAATTTACGACATACACTATCATCTGCAGTAGTACTGCTATACCCAGCATCGTATTTATTTCTCTCTTACATACGGTGAAATGTCACAGGGTTGTCATGGTAACGATAATTTGGCATACTATTTAATGTCTTATTCTTTTATCTGCGATTAGAATTTAAATCAGTTTTGGCGTGAGCATCTTTCGAGAAAAGAAGCTGTAAAACGAATATCAATGTGATCGTACCTAGAGCTATAGGCCTTTGTCAAAGCGCGTTTCAAGCCACCTACATAAAAAACCTCCATGAAAAATATCTGCTAATCCATGGCACGATTCCAACCATATCATGAGCATGTGTTTGTGAATCATATTCAAATAGTGATGTTACAAGGCGTCCATGCCGCGTCAACAACACATGGAAACGCACGAGAATTGCAATACGGGCCCCTAAACCACTGATGCTCCGTGACCTGGAGACACAATTCATGTGATTGAGCGTATGTAGGCAAAAGACAAAATGGATACTCGTGCTGTTATGCTTTTGAATTATTAAGTATTCGTTCTTGTCACGGGATACAAGTATACTTTCCAGTTTCAACCAAATGTACATTCGAAGGATATCGAAATCTAGGTTAAGCTATTGGAATCATATTTACAATTAAAATACCCAAACAATGGTCTGTTGTCCAAATATTTTGTTTTCCATATCTTGTCCCAATCTGTATCCAGAGACCATACAATAGTCTATTATATAGTCTCTGTTTTATCATAGTCAGAGAACGATATTATTTTCCCTTCCGCCCAGCCCTTACTGTAATGCTTACGCCCTAAATGAAGCATATCTAGATATTCTCAGGTTCAGCGTCTGTTAAAACTCACTGCAGGGTTCGGGTTACAGAGTAAACAATACCAAACGTCGGCGGCTGGCGGGGACCAACATCTTCAGTAACATTTACATCTGCCAACGCTTAATTCGCAAGTGGTGAGGCAATACGCTAACGAGGCTAAGGGTCCTGTACCATGTTTGTGAAATATCTATGATGCCTTATATGAAGTCTATAATCTAAGCAAGTCTAGCTATGTATGGCTTTAAGTCACTGCTTGAAGAAAAGCTCCTTTAGAAATTGATTTGGTAAATATTAGTATTTCACTGACTCAATCACATTCGAAAACGCATAGCAGCCTATAATTCATTGTGACTATGAT